ATTGCTTTAATATTCGAAACTTTCCCAGTCTCCCGTCTCTCCGTGGTGGCGTTCTATTCTATTCCTTTCTATTCCGTTGTGCTCTGCTCTGCTTTGCTTGCTATGTACAGACAAACCGCTTCCTTTGGGAGGGGAGCATCATGGGTCCTTTTTTCTTTTTCTTTCTTTCTTTTTTTTTGGAATACTGCATTTGTCATTTGTCATAGTTATGCCGTGCTGTGCTGTACTGTACTGTGTTGTGTTGTAATGTGTTGTGATGTTCTGTGGTATCTCGCAAAGCAAAGAAAGCTTAAGAGAAGGGGACCCTGTGAATAATTAGTGGTTGCCAGGAAAGGAATGGAAAGGGGCTAATATATTACTAGGCTATATTAATTATATACTATTAGGCATTAGGTAGGGATACTAATATAAGTTCTATATATTTTTAAAGTCATTCATTCATGAGAAATAGCACTACTCGATTAGGCTAGACTGAAGATAATAATCATCATCATAATGATCGAACAAGCGAAGCTGTTCACCTTAGAAACTAGAATTTCTCCAGGTAATGACGACGATAATAAAAAGACATCCCTTTCTGTCTTTCTTGCATTAACTACTGGAATTTGTCTCTTTCGAGGGGAAACAAAAACAAATCGTATCGTACTCGATCAAAACAAAGGAAATAAAGTGAAGGGGGGTGAAGAAGAAATCAAATCTCTGGAACTATGCCAGAAACCAGGTGAGTAATAGTAATGATGTTGGGAATTAAGCACGAGAAGGGGAAAAGGAAAAAGGAAAAGATGTAAAACAGTCGGCCGTCATTATGACGAATAAGGACCGAGAGATGCAAACGCTAGAAAAGTTGAAAAATAGAACTGTAAGGGGTGAAAAGACGAAGAAAAGAAAACATAAGCCACGGGAATACAACTGGCCTGAGAAGCAAAAACACACAAGGGTAGCCCGAGAATCGGAATGGTCCGACACGACAGAATGGCAGCTAAACTAGAAGAAAAAATAGGCGATCAGGAAACTTAACAAGCACAATCCGGCCACAATCTGCACAGGTACCCCTATCTCTGCTGCGGATTGAGGATGCTGTTGCTGCAGGAGGGGCGCGGTGGATTCAGCAGATTGAGCGGCCCCCCCATCGGTTTTCCGGAGCCGTAAGCCCTGCTCTGCGAGCTGGTCTTTCAACTTCTGAATCTGAGCCTGCGCCTGCGCGAGTTGTGCTTTTAGCTCTTCGTTTGCAGCATTGGTCGCAGCTGACTTGGAGTTATCTGTCGCCGCAGCGGCCTTCGTAGACTCTTGTGACACTTCTTGTCTGGGCTTCTCAGTGAACTCGGGTTGTGGGATAGGCGAGACATCATCGGGAACTTTCCTCGACGCTGCGGGTGCTGGGGTTTCATATGCTCCGCCTGGAGATGAATACGCCGGAGGTTCCTCGTCCGGAACGGCCTGAGTAGTAGATATCCATTAGTCGATCATTCGTGAGATGGGAACGCGATGCTTGTAGTAGGAACATACAGCTCCATTTGGCGCATTTGGTGGCAAATAATTCACGCGAATCTTACGCTCTTGGATCGCTGCCTTCGGCACTTTCTCGAACTGTATAGAGAACGTCAGTTCGCTCGGACTGCGCAAGGGACCCGAGCCGATGCCACATGGGGACGTACAATCGACGTGATATTGGAGAATTCCAAATCCCCGGTGATCGCGACGGATTGGACGAGGAACTTGTCTTTGCATTTGGCGTCAAGAGGGGGATCCTCCTTCATCGCCTGCAGCAGCACTGTTTTCGGACGGTTATCCCATGGCCCATCTGACAGACCAGCACAATCGCAAAGCACCAACCTTGCACCTCCACATGCCTGCCCGGCTCAATACGTCCCGAGTTGGGTCGAACACAGTAACTGCAAAGCTCAGCCTATAGTCGACGGACCGATGTCTTGGGGGGGGGATACACACTGTTTGGGAGCGGTGGTTTTCACCTGCGTTGGCAGTCAGTCAGCATGCAGCAATCATCAGATGTCCAGAGATGGAGATCGCACGAACCTTGAAGGCGACAGGCTCACTGTTCGGGTTGCGCAGATGCAGGAGTTCGCTGACTTCCCTGTTAAAGGGTCCTGATGTGCTGTAGTTAATACGTATGCTCCGGGGTGATGACAAATGGCGGACTCACGTCTGAACCCGAGATCGCTGGGCTCGAGTTCTATGGACATGCTGGCCTGATCCTATGTAGACGTAATGTCGAGCAAAAAGGAAAAGAAAGAGAAGGACGGTTGGGCAGGAAGGAGAATGATATTGTCTGGATCAGGCGGACGGGAGGGAAGGCTTGGATGTGGTCATGGGCGAATTTAGTGATGACTTCCGACTGTAACTTAGGTGGTCATTTCGGTACCGTCTCCGTATCGGTGTAAGATTGCCTGGCTGCCTGGGCCGACTGGACCTCGAGCGCCTGCTGATGTAAGCAGCTTTGGGTGCGAGGCACAGCGTAAGTTACGGCCTGGCTGTGATGTCATGTATTGGCTGCTCCGTATTTGTTCTGACCAATACCAGCTCGTCGGGTTTGACTTGCTGCGGGAGTCCAGAATGCAAGCGCAGGGCAAGCGAAATAAAAAAAGTTAGGAGGAAGAGGAAGCAAGAATACGCTGTCTTGCAATTGCGTGGTAGCCAGTCCATTTGACCCTGTATTAAACTCCGACAGTTGGCGATGCACTGGGACGAGGCTAAAACTGTTGTAATCATGACTGCTGGATGTTGAGCTGGTCCCTGGCGTTGATAGTCGTAAATCTCGACTGACCCGCATCTGGAGCTGGAAGCATTGCCGCGCGGATACGACGATAATAGGTACCTCACGTCACCCCGAAGCTCCCCACTTCACATCACCACCATCAGCGCCCACCTCGCCTGACATTTCGTTCTTGATCAAACGCTTGGCTCCTGCCTCTCCCACACGTTATCAACCACGTCTTTGTCAGCACACCTCGCCCCACTTTGAAGCCTCATAACTGCAAGTATTGTTTCTGGGACGCTCACAGTCCCGACGCTCCAATATGACCACGTCAGATCTTGATCAGCTCATTGAAATGGGCTTCGACAAGGAGCGAGCCGAGATGGCCGTCTCCAAGACAGGAGGCCGTATGCATCCCATTCTGAAGCAGGGGGTTCTTTTTTTCAAATGGCGCATTCTGATATCGGTTCCCCGCTGACATGTTATTCGACCTGTAGTGCAAGGCGCTCTCGAATGGCTCGAAGCCAACCAAGATAAATCTCTCGAAGAAATTAAGGCGGCCGAATCACGTTCAGAAGAGACACAGGAGGGACCTCCGCTCAAAGAGGGTGAACAGCCTCGAAGTCTCGTTTGCAACGAGTGCGGAAAGAAATTCAGGAGCCAAGCACAGGCTGAATTCCATGCATCCAAGACAGAGCATGTCGATTTTTCGGAATCAACGGAAGAGATTGCTCCCCTAACGGAGGAGGAGAAAAAGGCGAAACTGGCAGAATTACGGGAGAAACTCGCGGCGAAACGAGCAATGCAATCGGAGCAAAACAAGCTGAACCAGAAGAGAAACGAGGTAAATACACCAAGCTGTCACTAACGACACGCTTTTCCACTTTTACTTACCATTCGCTAGGAAATCCGGCGGAAGAGCACCAAGGAGGCTCAAGACATCAGAGAAGAACTACAGAAGAAGGAGCTGATGAGGGAGGCAGCCAAGAAACGGAAAGAGAAGCAAGAAGAACTCGAAGCGAAGCAGAAAATCAGGGCCAAGATAGCTGCAGACAAAGAAGAGCGGAGACTGAAAGCCGAAAGAGAGAAGGCTGAGCGGGCAGGCCAGGCTCCCCCACCGCAACCAGCAGCACCCGCTCCAACGACGTCTGGACCGGTGACATCCAAACCTGCATCCGCCTACACAGAAACTCGCCTGCGGTTCCAGACGTCCAAAGGAAACATTATGAAGACCTTCCCCGTGGATACAACCCTTTTCGAGGTTGCCGCCGCCCTCAACAAGGACGAAGGATTGGAAGTTCAGAGTTTCACACAAAATTTCCCGAAAAAGATCTTCGACGCCGAATATTTCGGTGAAACATTGAAGGAGCTTGGTCTGGTGCCTAGCGCCAGTCTTATTGTGAAATAATCTAATTGCTCTAACTGATGACGGCATGACTATCTGCGTGTTTTGATTCATCGGGAAGAGCGTAGTATCGAATCTAACGTGGACGACGACATGATAATCAATTTCTACACCTGAATTATTCGCGCTTTTCGATTTGAAATTACTACATAAGCAATGTCTCGCTAGATCACTCCAAAAGAAAGCAGTATTAGAGACTGTATAGTCAATTTGGGGAAGGGATGGAAGAGCCAAAATAGTCGTCATGAGAAGCGTTTCTTATCTTAAGCTATTTATCTTAAGCTATTTAGAGCTCTCTTGAATAAACATCGCAAAAGAGATCTTTTAGAATGCATGTGTTGTCGTATACATGTACTCCGTAGAGCAAGTGTTTCCAATTCGATCACGTGAACAGGCGCCCCGTCGTGTTGATGACATAAGCAGCATCCGTCGCGTCGACACGTCGGTGCCTGTGGAGGGCCGTGATAGCGGGCAATCGCGTTGTTAAGAGTTAGATCAGCCAGCATCCTCTTGTTGTTGATGTCCGCCATTGTGCTCTTGGTCCTTACAAAATGCCTGCGTAAGTCTGAATTTCATCTGTTCTGATGAGTTAGTTTTTACTAACTTGTACCTTAACAGTGTCGGTGACCAGCACCGTGTAGGACCGGGTACTGTGATATCAACCATGGCTGGTACCGTCTCTGCGAATCCTTTCGAGGAACCACCCCGTCGAATTAGCGAATATACTGCTCAGGAAATTGCCACTCTTCAATCTCGCCTTGATAAGCAGCTGGGACCAGAGTACATCTCCTCAAGAGCCGGCCCCTCTGGGCAGAAGGTGCACTACCTAGCGGCAGAGAAATGTATAAACCTTGCGAACGAGGTCTTTGGATTCAATGGCTGGTCCAGTTCGATCCAAAGTATACAGATCGACTTTGTGAGTGCAACAGGTTGGACGATTGTTGAGCAATGGGCTGATTGTCGGGTACTAGGTTGATGAGAGTCCAAGCACGGGTAAGATAAGTCTGGGGTTATCCGTGATTGTGAGAGTCACATTGAAGGATGGCACATATCATGAGGTACGGGAGCGATATGTCACGTTATCATCGGCTCTGTGGAGGAGACTGACTGTGGTGGCTTCTAGGATATCGGCTATGGCCATATTGAGAATTGCAAAGGCAAAGCGGCAGCTTTTGAGAAAGCAAAGAAGGAGGGAACAACAGATGCTCTTAAACGAGCTCTGAGGACATTTGGCAATGTTCTGGGCAACTGCATCTACGACAAAGAGTATCTTGCCAGAGTCACTAGAGTCAAAGTGGCTCCTGTAAGTTCCATTCCCTTCATGTCTCTTGATCAGTCTACTAATTAGGAGTAGACCAAGTGGGATGTGGATAACCTTCATCGTCACCCTGATTACGCCCCGGTCAAAAAGGAGCCTGTCGAAGACAAGAAGGTCTCTGAAGATAATGATCTTCCTCCCCGTCCAACTGAAGCTTCCACGAACAACGCGAATCCTTCTTCTCCCGCATTCGACGGAGACGGCGAATTTGGCAGTAAGCTCTTCCTGATTTGTGGAATTGGCCTGATGCTCAAATATTGGCAGGTGATCTTTTCGACGAGGCAGACTTCGCGGTGTGCAACCCTGATGAGGTGGTTTTAGACCCAGAACCTCCACAACAGCAGCAGCAGCAGCAGCAACAGCAGTCGCATCCACAAGCTCAGGTGCCCCAGCAAGGGCCTCAAGGGAACAACTCACGACCCGCTCGACCTCCTCCTGAGATGGTTACTCCCTCAAAACCAGAAAGGTCTTGGAATGCCGGCCCTACTCCTGCTGCACGACAGCCAGCACAGACGCCGCAGAACAAGACAGCTTCAGGAGCTCAACATAATATGTCTATGAACCGTCCTCAGGGCATGATGCAAAGGCAGCCGACCCCTGGTCCGCGACCACAGCAACCAGAGCGCAACTCAGCGGCTGCCCCTCAGGCTTATTCAAGATCTAGCCAAGAAATGTCATCAAATGCTCAAGGCGGTTCAGGAATCAAATCAGAGGCGTCTGCTAGCTCCGCGGACTCTAAGCCTCAGCAAGCCAATAATAATAATCAGGGACAATCTTCGGGAAGCGATTCGGAGAACAGGGTCCAGCCGGATCCAGCAGCTGGCTTTTTCTCTGCAAAAGCAGTTGACATACTACGAGAAAACCCTCAGGCACCTCCATCAATGGCACCGAAGTTTAACCCGCATGCCGAGAGTCCTTCAATCCGCAAAACAGCAGGTATCGACCATAGCAAGAGCCTTCCTATTTCTAAACCGATGCTTGCAGGAGTTTCTCCTTCCCAAAATAGTACACGGGATTTTATAAATCCTTCTGCAGATATGCATCGCAGAATAGGCGCTCCTGGCGGTAGTGGAATCGCCAGCCCAGTGGGCAGGCCGCAGAGCACATCCTCTTATCGCCCATTAACCCGACCGAACATTGACCCAAGAAATGCTGGAAGCAATACTGGGTTTAATCGAGAAAACCCTGCACAGCAGAATGCAAGCCTGAAGAGACCGCCGCTCAACGACGTGACAAATTCTTCCCTCTCATCGGGCACGTCTGGGCCCGGTGATCCCAAAAGACCCAAAGTCAACGCCGAAGAACAGACTGCGCCACAGCAACAAAAGTGTTGACATGTTTGCCAATCAGTAAAGTTCTCCTGTGTTATTCATCTGTCGTGAACATTAGCGCTTTGTTATTTGACATGACTCGGTGAGTATATGGCGTTTAGGAGGCCAAGGAATAGTATATGACGCACTCGTCTGTGCAATTGTCCTGAACTGGTTATTTTGCTGTGGGGATTCGGTACCTGTTAACATATATTATTTACGTTGCATATCCATCAACTCTATCATAACTTACTTCATTTTTTTATTCTTGGTGTTTGGGAAGAGGAATGAACGGCAATGGTTTCTTTCGTGTGGCTTGCTGGTGTTAAAATGGATGGATGTTATACTCTGTGTATTAATTAGTTGATCAAGGATGGAAAAGGATCGATCTATCAATCAGCTGGCGTTGGTATTGATATAGTCAATATTGAAATTTCTGATATTGATATTCTGACATGGTCAGAGCTTCTCACCATTACATTGCGCGCGTTCTAAAAAAGTATCAGAGTGGAACGAAAAAAAAATGAATACACCGTAGCTGGCTAGTTATGACTGACACTTGCATTAACTTCACTAATCCTACATACGTACATACATGACACATGAAAAACTGTTGTTGGATTTTTTTTTCGGAATGAGTTTTTGTTTTCGAAAACAGCAAACAAACAACTAAAGAAAAGAAAAGAAAGAAGGGCTTTTTTGAGGGATGATAGTAATGATACAGGTCAAACGGAAGAAAGAAGAAGCAAAGAAAGGAGGAAAAAAAAACTACCACCACACAACTTTTCGCTTTCATCTCAGGTAAGTAGTTATGACACCGCTAATCGATCGAAACTGGATATCATCAATCAATCGAAAATGGGGAAAATGAATATTCGTTATCATCATCCTCGTGAGAATCATAACCGGACGTATCACTCTTTAGGGCTTTTTTTTTCTAACCCCCGCACCGCGATTCGTCATCTTCGCTTGGAGCAAGTACGTCATCTGAGCTTAGCGGAGAGGTTTCTTCTTGTCGTCGTCGGGTAGGATCGCATATCTAGATGCGTAGAGACTGCGGGTTTGCGGAAGAGGAGGGCTCTGTGGACTTTGTGCTGCGGCTGCTACAGGAGGCTGCTGCTGGTATTGGCTCGGTTGCATTGGTTGATTGGAAGAAGAAGAAGACACTCCTGCTGCAGACGCAGCGGACCAGGGATGTGGGAATCCTCGTTGCTGAAAGCTAGGAGCAGCCTGATTCTGACGTGCAAACGGCTGGTTGGTGTGTTGCTCTGCTTGTTGGTGACTAAACCGTGGGGAAGGAGAAGCCGCAGGACTTGAAGAAGCCGTAGGCGCATGTCTCGAGGCGTAAAGGCTGCGCGTAGGAGGGGCAGGGCTAGGCTGTTGCTCAGTCTGCACTGGAGCCTGGTATTGCGCTGGTTGCGACGGTTGACCGAACCCTCCTGGGAGAGACGCACTCGCTGTCGGCGCGTGCCTGGAAGCACACAAACTGTGGGAAGCGTGGTGCGCAGGAGATTGGTTCTCTCCTTTCGGTTTAAACGGAGTTGCCGTAGGATTCGGATGCGTCGACTTCGTGAGGTCGTTTTGCGGAATCGAAGGCAGAGGAAGATTGGTACCGTACTGAGACGTCGTCTCAGATAGCGGTCCGGCTGGCCAAGTAGGTTGATTTACGATAACGCCCTGTGCAGGTACAGCAGACTCCACAGGATAGCTGAAAGAAGAACTGATGGGACCACCTGTAGTCGACGCAACTGGACGATCCACCGCTGTAGAATTGTCAGGGATACCATGACGTGCTGTATCCTGAACTGCAGGGAACGCTTGTCCGCTTGTGTTCGGTGGTCCTACATCAAACGTCAATTTGTCGGTCAAAGCCTGACAAAGGTGGTCAACATTACTATCTGTACTAGGGGCACGCAACACGGAATTCGACGTGGAAATCGAGCTGGGTCTGCTTCTCCCAGGGAGCGTGTGTTCACCAAAAATATGATCGTCGTCGTCCTCGGGAACATGCATTCTTCTGCGGCTGGGAACAGGTGATTCGCTCGAGCTACTTGATCGAGGGACAAACGGCGCCGCTAGGACGGCCTGCCGTAGTCGAAGCTCAGATGGTGAAGATCCCTGGCTGCTTGAAGCAACCTTGGTCTTCTCAACGTCTGCGCTTTTCTTCTGAGCTGGTTCGGCTTGTTCACGTTCCTGGACGGGAGGATTATCCTCAGGGGACCTGATCGACAAAGACTCCATAGCAGCAGAAACGACCTCGCTAGCTTTCCGGGTGTTCAAAGAAGTCAAATTCTCAGCGGCTTTGCCCTCAGTGACACCCGAAATCAGTCTTATAAGTTTATTCCGTCGTTCGTTCAAGTTTTCTGCGTCCTCTCCGGTCAGAGATGGAAGGGTGTCGTTGATGAAAGCCAGCTCTTGCAGATAACTGACAACCGGTATTTTAGCGGGTGAGGGCTTCGAACTGATCGAACTGATCGAACGAGGAGCCTGGGGAGTCACAGCTTTCTCAGCTCTGATAGCTGGCCCAGGACTAGCAGTCTCGCTAGGGCTTGGGCCATGTTGAACCGAAGCTACTGATCTAGAAGATGACCTGGAGCGACGGCTGAAGTCGATATCCATCAGATCTTGGACCGCAGCACTTGGTGGCACGGATTCTTTCTCCGGGTTCCTTGTCGTTGTCACGGTAGAAGTGCTGAAATCGAGAAGAAGATCATTGTTTTCGTCGAGTTTAGTCTTGGGCGTCTCAGCTTCTTGAGCCCGGGAATACTTTTGCGTAAAGATCTGGGGCTGCGGAAGATTCGAGCTGAAAACTTTCGTAGGTCTTGGTTTGTCCTGAGTATTATCTTTTTCATCATCTTCTTCCACGGATTCTGTGGATACAGAAGCCTTAGAAGGCTCAGAAAAAGGTGCTTTCTGTGTCATATTGACCGATTCGGGAGGGTGAGATTGCTGAACCTTGGTAAGACTGTTTGTCGTCGCTTCATCTTCAGCAGTAGCAAGGGACTGAGCATCATCTTTCGTAGTTGACAGCGACTGCTGATTTTCAGCGGCAACTGGGGTAGTGACCCCTGAATGAGAGTGAAGATCAAGGAGTTCAGTATCTGGATTAGAAGCCCCCTCTGGCAGTTCAGGGCGTGCCGCCTCAGACGTGTCATCGGAGGTTGTGGCTGCAGCATGCACCACGTCCTCTCCAGGGTTCTCTACTGACGCCGATCTATTCTTGCGAATAGCAGCCAAGAAACCCTCTGGTTCAGCAAGAAATGTTTCATAATTTTGCCTTGTTTATTCCAGTTAGCTAAAGCAACCTTGAGCTGAGACAGTTTCTTACTGAGGAGCCCCAGGAATCTGAGGATGGACAGGTCGCCTGACTTTGATTCCTGGAGGCTTCGAGGGCTTTGTGGGAGTTCGACGATCTTTAGGATCTGCTCGCAAGCAAGGTCAACACGTGAATCAATGATAATCTCTGGTGGATATTTTCACCTCTCCTGCCCCTGCCTCTAGAGGGAGATCTCGTGTTGGTATCGAGGGCGGGATCGAGATGACGCTGCATTTCCGCAAGCTGATGCCCGTGCATCATGACGGGTCTACCCCTTGAACGTTTTCTAGGGGAACTCCTGTTGTTCGTTAGCAATATCAAGAGGATAGTTGGAACCAGACTAGAATCTTACTGTGTATTAGACACAGAGGACCCTCGACCACGTCGTCCTACGTTTCCACCACCACGTCCGGGATCCCGGGCATCTCGAGCATGAGCCCTTGGTTGAGGACTATTTCCAGAACTGGGAGTCTCAACGTAAGTCTGTCCTCCGCTTTCCTGGATGGTAGCGCTGAGTTGAGCTCGATGGCTCTGACCATCCATCATGGTGTCCAGGTCCTCGAGGCCACCTGTGTCATCGACTTGCTTGTAAAGGCCTCCAAGTGGATTAGCTCAAGTTTCAGATAAGTATAACGCATGCGATTACTTACTAGACCACGCAGAAAGTTGCTCTTTATTCTGTTCAGCAATACGGCGTACTGCCTCATCTACGTTCGATAACCGAGAAGCCTCGAGTTGTTCTTTCCGAATCCTGGTGAATTTATTTGGTTTGTCAACTGACGATATGTATTCACGACGAGCGGTCCCAAGATCGGCCTGTTGACGATATGAATTGATGTTCTCAATCTCATTTCTATGCCACGCGTCGAATCACTCACCATTTGAATGTCCTGGAGCCGTTTCTCGGTTAGCTCGTCCATGGCTCCCAGATTTGCAAAGTCAACCTGCAAAGACGGGGAGATAGGTTGGGTTGAAAGCGTAATCTCAGTATGTTTGAGATTGCCAGGGGAAGAGGGTTGCAATTGAGATGATATAGATAAACAATAGAAAGAAGGTTGTGATTGAGACTTGGAGAGTGTGTGATGGTTTGAAAGGAGAGTAAACAAGCAAAGATATGAAAGACAACAGTGAGCAATAGTAAACAGGGAACAGTGACAACAAAACAACACGATAACCACCATGGAAACGCGTTGTTAGTCTAACAAAAGTCGTGTGCGTGTGTGGAGCCTGAGATGAGGAAGGGTGCTCTCTTGGTCTAAGGAAACAATCTGACGCGTCGAGATTAACTCCAGCAGATGGGGTCTGTATGGAATTGGTTTCAAGTGTTTGCACTGTATGGCAAGATGATAAAGGAAACTAATGAGCTCAAGAACGACTTTGCAGCCGGGTAGATGCAGGCTCAGTTATATATGTCCGTCAGAGACAACAAACAGTGGACAGAATGCGGGACTGTCAACCAGCACAAAGAGGGTGAATCAGGTGACGCAGCCTCTGCTCATCCAGATCAGACCATGAATCTGAGAACCAGTAATAGCTATTTTATAGGTACAAGACAGAAGATTTGGAATTAAACACTAGAAATCCAGCATGACAATTTAAGATGGTAAGATCAAACCATGTGATATCTTGCGAACAAAGATTCATGGATATGAGATATTGCTGTTTTTCTATGCTGGTGATATCAAACTGCAGTGAATGAAGAGATCGAAAAGCCAGAAAATTAGGTACTTGGGGTGGCCATACAACCAGGTGTAGCGGTCAATTGGGAAGGTCATTTTCTGAAAGAAATTCCTTGTTCACAGAAGGCAATGATCAGTTTGAATTGATACGATAGACAAAAACAATACTGAGACCTGTCTGAGAATTGCAAATTCAAATTTTTTGTCTCAGACAGAATAAAGATCTAAGATAGATAGAAGGAAGAGATTGAGAATAAAGAAAAAGACAAGGAAAAGAAAAGGAAAGAGGAAGGAAAAAACAAAAGCAGTAGGATTTTGAGGAAAGGTTTCTTCCAACTTGTTGATCAAGATGGTAAATCGTTACAAAGACAAGCAGATATCTGGTGAGGAGATATCTCATCTAAGAGATAAAAAACATCTGAAAGATAAGATATTGTGAGTTTTGTGTCTTTTTTCAGCAGAATTGCTTTTAACACATGGATGTTCAAGGGACACTCCAAGGTGAAGGAGAGATATCCATTCAAACGGTCTCCTCAGTTGTTGTCAGGCCAATAATGGTATCTCTGAATCAATGTAGATCTTTTGAAACTGTTTATGCACTTTTTAATCACATTATTTCTTCGGAGATTTCCTTTCTCTGGACTCAATGCCAGGTGAAGATAATGTGTTGTTAATCATAGGCATGAGACGCTAATCAAGAATGGTTAAGCGTGGGAGGAGGTACCTTAGGTTAGGTAACCTAACCAGGTAATTTCTGAGTAACTACCTACCTAGGTAGGTACTTGTTAGGGTAGATAAAGGAAATATAAAGTCAGATATGAAAGGTCTCGAGAAACAATATGAAGGATTCAAATTAAAAATTTCGCATGACATGAATTGAGAATCAACTGTACTTCATCTTGTAAAAAATGGCTAATATATACAGAACATGAATAAACAGCAAGGTGATTTTGATAAGGACACTATTATTACAAGTCTAGATTATAAACAGAGAGAAACCAGCCAGCCCGTATTTAAATTACACTTCCGCAAGTGTGGGTTCCGCCTTCATCTGTCAGATTGAAATAAGCTCGTCAGCACAGAATTCCCATTCCAGAGTTGGGGATGGAGCGTATCTCATGACATACTTCTGATCATCTTTGCAACAGCCTGGAGGAGGCTGATCCCCATGACTACAGTGCCGAATGCTATACAAGCGTACGCTGGTAGTTTCGCTCTCCAGCTAGACTTGCTCAACTTCACGTAGCAGAGCGGCGGTAGTATATACGCCAATGCCGCCGCACTTGTAGCGCCGATAAGCTCAAACACAGCGCCAAGGTCACAGGTAATCAATGCCATGACCATAGAGGAGACTACTAGAGTTGTAGTAAACAATAGATGGCGATTTGGATCGAAAGGCTCATCGGGGAAATAATAAGTCATCATCACGGACCGGCAGACAAATGCCTCCAGCGGTAAGGTCGTAAGCATATTCAAACCGAAGCAGCTGACCATGTCTTAGTTTAAAGGAGTTCGTCTCTGTTTGGGAAGAAACTTACAACCGAGCTATATTGACCATGACGTTATCTGCAGGGAAGTTATTTAGCACATTTCCCTGGGTCTTCGAGCCGAAAGTCAGAAAACCAGCTAGACCCATTATCAAACACATGAGCATCGAAACCCCAGTGGAGTAGTGCGTCACAGTCGCAAATCGATCTAGAGTCGGTTTTTTGAGGGAGCCGTAGATTAGAAGACTGTTATGGTCTAGAAGACAGGTCAGATTTAGAACTGAAGTCGGAGTACTAGGTTCAACATACGACACACAAATGCTAGAGACGGTTAGCAGTGCCCGTACAAAAAAAGGATCTACAAGTTTATGACAACTTACCGAAGGAGATAACGCCAACAGCTTGGAAGAAACCAGAATTGATGAAAAGACTCCCTTTGATATCGCCTCTCAGTTCTGAGGGGACACGGAACCCCTGCACGACCACAGTGACTACAATCACCACCATACTTAACAGCGCCAAAGCTGAAGCTTTTGCCAACTAGGATCGTCAGTAAACGTCAAGGAATCATTGTAGTTAGAAATTACCTTAGCAATATCTCGATAGAGAGAAAGAGGATAGGAAACACCAAGTATGAAGAGGATAATTACAGCCCGTCTATCTGTCAGAAGCCAGAGAAAAGGCATATCTCGAAGGGACGGGAACAAGGCTTCTAAGACATGTGGAATGGTATCACCAACAATGATACAGAACGCGATCATTCCACCATAGGCGAAGGCCCATTGAGCAACAGAGATTGCAATGAGCCCGCTTTTGCCAAAGCAGTGTTGCATGGTCGCTTGAAAAGAATCCGCGCCGCTCATTTTCGAATTGATGACTATTAACCGAATCGTCCAATCCACGGTGATAGTAAGCGCAACGAGCAGCACTATTCCCATCACCATACCTGCCTGACGAAAAGCATAAGGCTGTCCGATGATACCAGCGCCTATAATGCTATTGGCCATGTTCATAAATGCCATTCTCATTCCGCTGCGAGGTCGGGCACTTTCCAGATGTTCCTCCGGGAAGAAGTTATCCGACGTTGCGACGGTAACACTGGGAGCCTCTATATCTGTCAGGAGAGGTGCCATATGCCCAGTACTGCTTCTCGGCCGTCGTGGACCGCGCGAGATATAATCCTCCTCATCCATCCATGAGGAATTCTCCTCCGATCTCGCATGGCCATTGGCAGGGGTCGGCTCATCTTCGGATTCGTCATCCAAGTCGAATCGGACGCGATTGGGGGTACGGAGAGTGCGACGCTGTCCATCCGTAGGAGGCCTGTATATCGAGGACTGGCGAGGACCGTTTGTTTGAGGAGCTAGAGGGTTGGGGGGCGGATTGCGCTGATCGCTTGACCCGGAATGGACTACCAGGTCGTCATCCTCGGTGGAGGAGGCAGAGAGGAGAGAACGAGCTTCATCTTCGGTTGCATCACGTCGCTCGGTGAGGCGAGCAGTGATGTTGTCATCCCTGGGCATAGCTGACGACTGGATTCATGTCGTGGGATCGAGACAATGTCGTGTCTAGTAACAGCGTAGCTGCTTCTATCAGGCCCGTTTCAGACAGCGATAGCTATCACGTGACTGATATATTAGCGTTTGATCTTATTTTAGAAATGAAGCCAGTTAGTTATGTATCTGCGCGTGAGATCAAAACAATCATTTATTGGATGGAAAGAGGGGGGATTACACTGCAAAATAATGGATATAATTGTGTGTCACTGTCCACCAGCAAAGTGAGACTGAACGCGTCATCCAGCTAGCCTTTATGGTAACAACACGTTAGAAAACCACTACACCGTAATAAACACGTACTTTGTAATAGAAATGAAATTCTAGCTTTAATTTTATTTCTCTAACTCTCTTCTTCTTTTTGCCTTAGAAGGGGATCTGAAAGTGCTGAAAGTGCAGCAAGTTTGGACGAAAGACCATCACAATAGTTTCCTATATAGAGAAGTTTCGAGGTTGCTCAGTTTCATAGAGTTTATGGTTGCTTATAATTTGCTATACCATCCACTGCACATTCTCTTCATTTCTCCTTCTTTGAAATTGCAGCTCAGTTGAGATTACCTGTAGGGCTAATACTACAATTGTGTAGTCCAATGAGGGGGAGAGTTGCGGCCAGTCCGCGATGCCCGCAACGATGAGTTTTTGCGGTCCTTCATCTCTTGCAGGAAGACCAAGTATGGTAACAAGGAAAGCGAACACCAATGTCTCATACCATTGACTTGGGCACTAGCAGTTTCGGTGTCCTCGAGTCAAAGCAATGCCTTGTCTCGAAAGCCTTAGCGACTTTCTTGCTCCCCAAAGAGCCTGCAGTCCTACCAACGGACCTCAAGCAGATTATCAATTCCAGGTCTATCTGGATTGTCAAGGGACAAGATCTCACCTTGGATATCAGTATCCAAGGACCCTGTGATGGCCTAGATTCTATGTTCACCCTATTGAATCGCTCTGCCAATCTGTTGAGGGAAGCCAAAGTGAGTTTCCCACATCTTCCTGGACCGTCAAGTTTGCTAAAATCTTTCATCTTCTCCAGCTTTGGTCTGATCTTGGTCTCGTAGCGTCCACGAAGTCCTACGAATGCAAATCCGGTCCCGATCATACAATGAGACTTCACCTCTCCCTGACTCTCCAGGAAGATTTCAAACGCATGACCAAACGGATACATGGGAAAGTGCCTCGTTCAATTCGAAGATGCGTCTTTGTCGACCCGCAGCCTCCTTCCGGTATTGTGACAGTGACATTGTCAAAAATAGAACTTTTCCTCAAATACATGTATTCTTCTACATCAACATGCGTCACGCACATGGACCGGTTTTGGACGAACGAGTGTTTGGAGGACTCCATGATGGCAGTAGATGACGGTGTTGAAACACTTGAGAGCGACAAGGAGGGTCCTCTGCCCTGGTTAGGTTTTCCTGCTTCAATGCCATCTATACATCCCAGTTATGGTATATTCACGCCTGGACTGCATTCTTGGGGTACAGAACCCGAATTCCCGCATCCTCCTCTGTGCGACTCCATTGTGAAAGCTGACACAGTCCCCGGCGGAAATGACTGTCAACTTCACAGTCTTCTGGACTGTGCCATTCGAAATTTGGTCTCGTCAAATCCGTCGAAAGTTGCGCATGGAATTGAGCAAAATCCCAGCACTGCAGCGAAGCTCTCTGACATTGCTCCTTCTGTATTCAGTCCAGGTTATGATGATGTGAGTAGATGACTCTTTCCCTTATAATGCTAGCGCTGATTGGTTTTGTTTGCACTGTACAGAGCATTCGCCAGAGAGCAGGGTTTATACCAGTAGTTGCTAAGTCAATAGCGTCGATCGTGAACAAGTCCGCTTCTGAAGACATACGGCAGAAAGTCACCTCTCTCAAAAATTTCTTTGGAGAAAATTATGAAGGCACTCCCATGCACCGTCCACCATCGGAAGTTCCAGACCTGCGGTCTATGGTAAAGTGCCTATTGTGGACAAGCCTTCAGAGAGGAGTGTACGATCCTAAAGCGGCTAGGAAGCTGAGTCCCATAACGTTGGATGACTCGAAATCGGAGGATGATTCTTCGATGCTGGAAGACCAATTGTCCATTCCAGGGTCCGATAATGCATTGTCGACAAGTCTGGACATAGAATCCGACTATGCTGACACAAACGCTGACGACGATGATGACTACGAACGAACTCTCTTCGAAGAAGAGCTTTGCTTTCCTTTTCCGGATAGCGGTAGCGACAGTGACGATTTGATTGATGCCGTCTGTCGATTCAGTGTTTCTGGAAACGATGAAGAAGAGAGTGCGGAACTATCACGGGCAAAAGAATTCAAGCATGAAAATGGAGAGCCTTCTAGTTCTCCGATGATGAGTTCTGTTGAAGAATTGGGAACAATGTCTCCTCCAACGATACTCGGATCAGCACTAAAACAGCCACGACGATCGTTCTCTGATAGGACAACAAGTGACTGGTCTGAGGAGCCATATGACGACAAAGCTGGTCAGAACGAGAGGCTGAACGAGGAGGAGATGTTGTCACCTCGTATGGAATCCGAACCTGAGATTGAGATTGAAATTGATACTGGGTCAGACTTTGGGTCCCTTGGCTCGTTTGAAGAGGATTATCTACTTGAAGAAGAATATTTACTTGGGAACGATAAGAGGTTCGATGACGACGAGGATGAGGAGATGCTATACTAATACTTAATATTAAAGCGAGAAACGCGAGGCTTATGTAGCTACTATTTTCCCTTCATTTCCAATTGAACGTGATGTCTATGATGATTAACAATAATATCTGGTGGAGCCGTACGAGCAGAGCTTCATCTTTTTTCGAGGTATGTACAAGACCTACCTCATAGGTTACGCACCTAGTGGGAAACTTTGCCCGATGCGTACATATACCTCTGTACAGCCGTGGAGTCAAAGTGCATTTATGTCGTGTTCTTGACGCTATTGTTCAGACGTTCTAAGACACGAGTTAAAACAACTACAAACAAGCCCTTACTTTAACTTTATGAACGTCTTGCTATACATACCTATGGATTCTTTGCTTATAATAGGTATGGGTTCCTTGCTTCCGTATTGGGAAGTAGGTACCATAGCAGACAGAAACGGACCGCTTTGAACCACTAGGTTGCAGACCTTCCCCCCCCCCCCC